ATTTTGATTGGGGCATTTAGCTCATTTGCGTTTAGGGTTAATATTGTTATGTGTGAGTTTGATTCTGCCATTTTGATGCTAGCTGGCTGTTTTGCCCATTAATTTATGCAGTTTCTTCATTTTGTTGATGCTCTTTACCATTTGGTATGTTTTTGGAGTGGGTGGTACTAGTTGTTCCTTTCTATGTATAGTGCCTGTCTCAGGAGCTCTTGTAAAGCAGGCCTGGTGGTGATGAACTCTCTGAGTACTTGCTTGTTCGCAAAGGATTTTATTTTTTCTTCCCTTATGAGGCTTAGTTTGGCTGGATATGAAATTCTGGGTTGAAAGTTCTTTTCCTTAAGGATGTTGAATATTGGTCCCCACTCTCTTCTGGCTTGTAGGGTTTCTGCTGAGAGATCTGCTCTGAGTCTGATGGGCTTTCCTTTGTGGGTAACCCGACCTTTCTCTCTGGCTCTCCTTAGCATTTTCTTTTTCATTTCAACCTTGGTGAATCTGACGATTATGTGCCTTGAGGTTGCTCTTCTTGAGGAATATCTTTGTAGTGTTCTCTGTATTTCCTGGCCTTGAATATTGGCCTGCCTTGCTAGGTTGGGGAAGTTTTCCTGGATAATATCCTGAAGAGTATTTTCCAGCTTGGATTTGTTCTCTCCGTCACATTCAGGTACACCTATCAAATGTAGATTAGGTATTTTCACATAGTTTCAAAATTCTTGGAGACTTCGTTCCTTCCTTTTTACCCTTTTTACTCTAATCTTGCCTTCTCATTTTATTTCATTGAGTTGATCCTCGACCTCTGATATCCTTTCTTCTGCTTGGTCAGTTCTGCTCTTGGAACTTGTGTATGCTTCACAAAGTTCTCATGTCTCATGTTTTGTTTTTCAGCTCCATTAGTTTCCTTATATTCCTCTCTAAATTGTTTATTCTCATTAGCATTTCATCAAATCTTTTTTCAACGTTTTTACTTTCTTTCCATTGGGTTAGAACATGTTCTTTTAGCTCACAGAAGTTTCTTCTCCCACCTTCTGAAGCCTGTTTATGTCAATTCATCACACTCATTCTCTATCCAGCCTTGTTTCCTTGCTGGTGAGGAGTTGTGATCTCTTGTGGGAGGAGAGACCTTCTGGTTTTGGGTGTTTTCCTCCTTTTTGTGCTGGTTTCTTTCCTTCTTTGTGTATTTATCCACCTTTCATCTTTGTAGTTGTTGACTTTCAGATTGGGTCTCTGAGTGGACGTCCAGTTTGTTGATGATAAAGTTGTTTCTTTCTGTTTCTTAGTTTTCCTTCTAACAGGCCCCTCTGCTGTAGGACTGCTGAGGTCCACTCCAGGCCCTGCTTGCCTAGGGATCACCTGCAGCATCTGCAGAACAGTAAGGATGCTGCCAGTTTATTCTTCTGCTATCTTTGTCCCAGAAGGATAACTGCCAGATATCAGTCTGAGCTCTCCTTTATGAGGTGACTCTTTGGATATACGGGGGTCAGGGAGCTGCTTGAGGAGATAGTCTGTTCTTTATGGGAGCTCTGGTGCTGAGCTGTGAGCTCTGTTGTTCATTCAGAGCTGCTGGGCAGGTACATTTAAGTCTGCTGCAGCAGAACTCATAACTGCCTCTTTTCCCTGGACCTCTGTCCTAGGAAAGTCAACTTTATTTATAAGTTCCTGTCGTGCTGCTGCCTTTTTTCATCGATGCCCTGCCCCGCCCCACAAGAAGTAGTCGAGTCACAGTCTGTCAGCAGAGGTGTTGCTGAGCTGCCACAGGCTCTCCCCAGCTGCTATGTGAACTGTATTGGTAGTGATGGACTGCCTCAGTAGTGGTGGTTGCCCTTTTCGCCACTGAGCTGGACCATGCTGGGTCCAGCTGCACTTGCTGTGAAATTCTCAATTCAGAGCGTTTCAGATTGCTTGTTTTGTGGGGGTGGTACCCGCCAAGCTAGATTGCCTTGCTCCCTGTCTCTGCCCCCTCCCTTTCAGTTGAATGGGTGGCTCTGTCTCCCAGGCATTCCAGTCGCCAGTTGAAATGGCTGCCCAGATTTGTGTGAGTTTCTGTGTGCTGCCAACTCGGCACCAGCTGAGACCACCATGCTGAAAACTGGTGGCACTTTTCAGCTCAGGAATCTCCTGGTCTGTGGGCAGTGAAAATTTGTTTGGAAATGCAGTGGGCACTCACCCTCTGCATTGTTCTTGCTGGGAACTGCACACCAGAGCTTCTCTTATTTGGTTATCTTCCTCAATGTGGTTTTGATTTGCATTTCTCTAATGACCAGTGATGATGAGTTTTTTTTCATATGTTTGTTTGTTTGCTGCACAAATGTCTTCTTTTAAGAAGTGTTTATTCCTATCCTTTGCCAAAAAGTTTTGCCTGCCTATCCTTTTTGCATCAAAAAGTTTTGATGGGGCTGTTTTTCTTTTTCTTGTGAATTTAAGTTCCTTGTAGATTCTGGATATTAGCCCTTTGCCACATGGGTAAATAGCAAAAATTTTTTCCCATTCTGTTTGTGGCCAGTTCACTCTAATGATAGTTTCTTTTGTTGTGCAGAAGCTCTTTAGCTTAATTAGATCCCATTTATCAAGTTTGGCTTTTGTTGCCATTGCTTTTGGTGTTTTAGTCATGAAGTCCTTGCCCAGGCCTATATCCTGAATGGTATTGCTTAGGTTTTCTTCTAGGATTGTTATGGAGTCAGGTCTCATGTTTAAGAGCTATATAGAATACTTTAGAGTGTAGCTGTGGTAATATCTTTTTGATGTCTTTCTCACCCTTAATATTTTAAAAACTTGTATTGTTGCTCATTTAAGCATGTTTTCTCTACTTAACATCATTATACCTCCATAATTCTAGCTTAGGGTCTTAAATTTTTGGTAGGGATCAGAAAACAGAATTAGCCAAGCAGAATTATGGATCAGAATGTTCTCCCTGTACTGTTGCTGATTCTGCCATCCATTATACTGACTATAGCTAGACTGGGAAGAATCAGACTACATAGAGCTAGCTGGGCTAGCTTGGAAAACTGTCTGTGGTTCTATTTCCTATAGCAGTACCTTCTCCTTGCTTCATTACAGTCCCTAACCCAACCTGTAGATTCCCCATCTGTAACAGTTTGCTGATCAGTTGCTTTCTTTTCAGTGTGATAGCTAAGGTCCTGGTCAGCTTAGACATGTTAGACCTGACAGTTGGTCTTCATATTGTCCTTCCTTTATTCACAATAATATCCTCACACCAATATATCTGACGCTACTCTGGTCTGGAATCCAATCACCCATTCTTCCTTCACAATAATCTATTAACTGTTTGATCTCTCTCTTCTCTCTATATTCTGACTACTGCTCCCTTACCTGTCACATCTAAATCATCTTCCAGGTCTGTACAGCACACTTTGCAGCTCTGCTTATGTCTAACATCTCCTGTCCATTCCTATTTCCTCCTCCTGAATTCTAATCTTTTTGACATCTCACACCTGAATATTTTTTCTATCTCCCTACCCTCTGTCTCTCCTACTTTCATGGTTTTAATATTCTTCACTACTCAAAACCCTTCAGCATCTTCCTGAATTACGATTTAGTTGGCCTCCACAATATACTTTGGTTTATCTTTCCACTATATTTTCTTGTTTGTACCTATTTCAGCCAAACACTTACTATTCCCTAAATTCTCTCCCATTTTTTCCTACCATTTGACATCATCGTTTAACCAATTTTTATGAGGTACATGCCATGTTATAAGCACTATGTGAGTTAGGCCCTATGGAGTTGGGGGTGTTGGTGCTTAGTCTTTGGGGGGTATCAGATACAAAGTAGTAAAACTTGCATAAGATGATGAACACGGAGGAGATTAAAAGTACTTGAGAATACAGAGAATGACAGAGACTAATTTTATTTGGAGTAGGGAGTCAAGGACTGTGTCAAGGAAAAACTGAGTAGGGAAGAGGACAGAGAGGTGAACGGAGGCTGGGAAAGGGAGGAAGGGAAGGAATGGGCAAAGGGGACAGGCATTCCAAACAAAGAGAATATCAAATGCAAGACACCCAGAAGCAAAAAAAAGTGGTATAATATTATGGGAGCAGAGAGCATTAGAATATTTGGGAGCATAGGTGGAAGTGAACAAAATAAAAAGAGGATTCAAGTGGAGAAGGTGAGGATTGATTGAGGAGAATATTTTGCAAAACAAAACAAAAAGTTTTAAGGTAACTTGTCAACTTGCTATGATTCTATAGCAGTTGTTTAGAAGATAGACTGTTGTGGGAGGGAGACTTGTAGCATTTTATGAAGGCCCTTCTGCCTGGAACACTTTTCTCTCTACAGAACTTCCCCGTATTTACCTCCAGAAGGTCATGCTTCAAGGTCCACCTTAATGTTGCTGCTTTCAGTGAAGCTTTCCCAAATCTCCCTCTTGTCTATAATTGGAATAATTTCCCTCTATTTTGGATCCCCATAGAAACTTTCTGCCTCTCTTTCAATGTATTATACTTACAGTTTGTCTATAGCTTGCTTTTCCCCTCTAGACTCTGAGCATCTTGAGAACAGAAATCTAGCTTCATTTATCTGTCTTTTCTATGCTGTACCTGATACAGTACCATGATCACATGTTGTACTAATAATTTTGATGAATTAAAAATAAAAAATAAAAAAAATAATAATTTTGATGAATTGATTTAAACTGGCATCCCAGAGATTGGCTCTAATAAAACTCCAAAGGCTATATTGCCCCATGCCTACAGGCAAAAACATGACTTACTTTCTTGCCTTGATTTTTTCCCCCAGTTAGGAAAAGCCAGGGACAGCCTCAACACAAATGCTGGTGTGGGTCATCTAGACTCTGAGACCTGAGACTTCAAGGCCTCTGGGAAAGAGGATAGCAGCCTATTGGGACAGGATCTATGAGCCTTTCCCAGGCCCAAATGAGGAGAAGGGAAAATAGGGGAGATTGCTTTTCCAGTTTAATGGAGCATTTCCTTGCTTCAAAATCCTATCTCCATGCTAATGTTATGTTTTTTTAATTAGAGCAGAAATAAACTAAATATTTTATTTCTAAGCAAAAACAGAGCTCCAGCATAAATCCTGTTTGTCTGAGAAAATTCACAATACATTTTAGAAATCCAATGGATACATTCAAAATGTTATCTAATAAATAACAAGGTCAGGTCTACCCCAAATCTAAGAATCTGATTTAAACATAAGGTGCCAAAAAACTACTAGGGCTGTTTTTTGGTGGTTATAAACAATACTTAATATTTAAGCAATACAGTTACACTGCTTTAAACTCAGTTGCAGAGATCTACTATTTATTATTATTTTCAGTGTTAGAGCTAGAGGGTAATTTTTTCAAAGATGGCACTCAACTCCACTTATTTACCTGTCAACAAATACAGAACTGAACTGTTAGCCATAAGCACTTTACAAAAACTCAGGAAACTATGCAGGAGACAATGACATAGCTTAACTAGACTCTGAAAGATACATTATTTTGATTCACACTTGTACAAAGAGAACAGTCATATCTGCATGACTTAAGGTTCTCTAAACACAACTGTTTTATGTTTTACACCTCTAGAGTGTGCCAGTTTACCGCATCAGGGAGGAATCAAGGGATGTGCTCCTTCTAAAAAACAAACAGCAAGTGGGGTGGGGTGGCTGCAGGGAATGCCCTGGGCACAAGAGCTGCCTCAGTTTTTTGTGGGCAAGAAAACTACTTGTTGCAATTAAGCAATTCCTAGGGTTTACCTAGTTTGAGGTTCAAAACAAAGGAGAGAATTATTTCCTTCCTTGAGCTCTTTCCAAAGCAATATGCACATCTCATAATCAAATCTCAAGTAGTACAAAGAGATTATCAATTATCTAAAAATTTAATTTACATAAATGTTGGCCTGGATTACAAAGAAAAAAGTTAGTTTCCATAACGAGCAGATTTTAGTGCTGTATGGCCCATATGACTAAAAACGACTGAGGAAGTTTTTACTAAAAGCTCAAGGATAAAAATGAACACTGGCTGTCTATTGAACTTTACATCTGACAATAATTACTGACAGTTTAAAAATGTATATCCAAAATATAACCTCAAGAGGACCAGGTTTATTTATCCAACAGAGCAGCTCAAAATGTTGAGAGGCATCATTTGTTTAGATATGAAGGGGTTATTCTCAAAGTGTATTTATTTGGAGGGGAAAGTGATTATAGAAAAATACTTGAAATAAATTGCCAATGAGTTGCAGATTCTAACAATAATCCACACATCATCTTAGATTTTTAAGTGTGTAGTTTCATAAACAAATTCTGTCAAAGAGCTATTCAATATACTTAATCACTTTAACTTTCCATGAAAACCAAATAAAAATCACATCCGAATGATTTACTTCTATGCTTTTATCTGATTGTATACATATGATGTACTACACATCCAAGTACAAGAGGCAGTTATCTTCTCTGAGAGGTGCAAGAGTTGTTCTTTCATGAATGCCCTCTAACAGTGAAACCAGCAATTTTTATATATGCATTCATGTGCATATAGATGTACTTCAAAAAGCAAAGCGTCATCTCTTCGTCCATTGTTAACTTAATGGTAAGAATGGGGGCCATCAGGCATCGGTGGAGCACCAGAAGGTCCCGAAGGCACTTGGAAAGGATTACTGGGAATAGGATAGAGTCCTGGTGTAGGATACGATCCTGTAGGGGCAGGATATGGTGCTGGTGGTCCCCAGGCTCCTGGTGGAACAGTGCCCCATGGAACAGGTGGTGCTACCCCAGGGGCTTGGGGAGGAGGAGGAGCGGGATATGGCCCTGGAGATGGATATGGCATATTAGGGGTAGGATACTGCCCTCCCATTCCTGGTGCCCAAGGTCCAGAAGACATGGATCCCCAGGGACCTAAAGGACCAGCTGCAGCTGGATCTGTGGGTGCACCATATGGTCTAGGTAGCTCCGGAAAGGGCATATTTGGTGTAGGATATGGCCCTGTGGGGCCAGGACCTGGCACAGTTGGGGCTGGATAAGGACCATTAGGTGGGGGGCATGATGGTCTGGAAGGAGGAAAGGGTGCTGGGGGTCCTGGAGGTGGTCCGGTGGGAGGCACGGAGGGATACATTCCTGTTGGTGCTGGTCCAAAAGGCACAGTAGAGGGTGTTGTACTTGCTGGAAGTCCAGATGGCACCGAAGGTGGAGCACTCGGATGATTCCAAGGGTTGGAGCCTGGCCAGCCTTGAGGAGGTTGGCCAGGTTTTGTATTGCTCACAGCAGAGGTTTTGGCAGGGGAATGTTCAGGTAGTGCATCTGCCAACGAAAATTCATCAGACATTTTCCCGGCAAGATCCGAGACCGCAGTAGGGTCTAGAAGCGGTGATGGGTCCGAGGGACTGGGCCCTGAAGAAGCGGGCACAGCCTGACTGACGGCGGTGAGAGCAGCGGCGGCAACAGCAACAGCAGCCGCTAATGTTATTTTAATGCCATTACGCTGTGTAATTTACTGCAATCAGCAAAGCAATTTGTTGTACATTCTTCCAAAAGTGTTAATCAATTTTAGCTCAAAATAGATATTAAAACCCCACCTAATTTACTATCCTAAAATGCTGATCAGTGGGGGAAAGCTAAAGCAAGCCCAGAGTTGTTTGTATTTAACTGTAAGAAATCATAATTCCTCCACAAAATTATTTTTATAAACAGCCAAGGAATTAGTAAATAGATATGTAGGAAAATATGTAGCTTTAGTTGTCCTGTTTATAGCTGAGATTTGAAAAGTTATAGAAAAGCACTAAAGGATTGTCTGCTCAGGGTCTAGCCTACTAATTCTGGAGAACAAAGGCCCACATTATCAATAATGACTAAGTTAATATCTGTGATGCTCAGTTTTCCCCTTTCTAATAAAATGGGAACCTAATATAACCACAGTTATGAGGTAATTAATTATACATCCAAGCTCCCATACCCCAACTCTACCGCTTCTTTTTTTCTTGTCAAAGTGTATCTCCTCTCTATTCTCAGCCCTATAAAATTCCTTTTACTTCAAAGTCATAAAGCCTGGGTGCTTGGCCAGATTTTTCAATTAGAGGAAATTTATTTTCTTAGAGAAATAACATCCCAGAGTAAATTTACAGTGGCACTAATATGTCCCCTGATGTAATGTTCTTGTACTGTCTGAAAAGTTTGTATAATTAGCCAGACATGGTGGCTCATGCCTGTAATCCAGCACTTTGGGAGGCTGAGGTAGGTGGATCACTTGAGGTCAGGAGTTCAAGACCAGCCTGGCAAACGGGGTGAAACCCCATCTCTACTGAAAATACAAAAATTAGCTGAGCGTGGGGGTGCACACCCATTAATTATCATTACTTGGGAGGCTGAGACACAAGACTTGCTTGAACTCTGGAGACACCACTGTCCTCCTCCACCTGGGTGATGGAGTGAGACTCTATCTAAAAAAAAAATAGATAATTGTTGATACCTAAGTGGATTGTTCCTATATATATATATTTCATGATACATTAATTTTTACTAATAATCAATGCTTATATGTGGCAGCTGTTCTTTATTTTTCTACCTGAAAAGATATAGAAGTACAAATCAGTAACATGTGGAAACTTGTATTTCTCTAGCCCTGTTTTGGTCAGAAGTTGGAAATGGCAGGAGTTACAGAGATGGCATTTTGTGGTTTTTTTTTGTTTGTTTGTTTGTTTTTTAATTTTTTATTGGATTTTAGGTTTTGGGGTACATGAGCAGAGCATGCAAGACAGTTGCGTCGGTACGCACATGGCAGTGTGCTTTGCTTTTCTTCTCCCCTTCACCCACATTAGGCATTTCTCCCCAGGCTATCCCTCCCCACCTCCCCCTCCCACAGGTCCTCCCCTTTTCCCCCCAATAGACCCCAGTGTTTAGTACTCCCCTCTCTGTGTCCATGTGTTCTCATTTTTCATCACCCGCCTATGAGTAAGAATATGCGGTGTTTCATTTTCTGTTCTTGTGTCAGTTTGCTGAGGATGATCTTCTCCAGATTCATCCATGTCCCTACAAACGACACGAACTCATCATTTCTGATTGCTGCATAATATTCCATGGTGTACATGTGCCACATTTTTCCAATCTAGTCTATCATCAATGGACATTTGGGTTGAATCCAGGTCTTTGCTATTGTAAACCGTGCTGCAATGAACATTCGTGTACATATGTCCTTATAGTAGAACGATTTATAGTCTTTTGGGTATATACCCAGTAATGGGATTGCTGGGTCAAATGGAATTTCTATTTCTAAGGCCTTGAGGAATCGCCACACTGTCTTCCACAATGGTTGAACTAATTTACACTCCCACCAACAGTGTAAAAGTGTTCCTTTTTCTCCACATCCTCTCCAGCATCTGTTGTCACCAGATTTTTTAATGATCACCATTCTAACTGGCGTGAGATGGTATCTCAATGTGGTTTTGATTTGCATCTCTCTGATGACCAGTGACGATGAGCATTTTTTCATATGATTGTTGGCCTTATATATGTCTTCTTTCGTAAAGTGTCTATTCATATCCTTTGCCCACTTTTGAATGGGCTTGTTGTTTTTTTCCTGTAAATCTGTTTCAGTTCTTTGTAAATTCTGGATATCAGCCCTTTGTCCGATGGGTACACTGCAAAAATTTTTTCCCATTCTGTTGGTTGCCGATCCACTCTAGTGACTGTTTCTTTTGCCGTTCAGAAGCTGTGGAGATTGATTAGGTCCCATTTGTCTATTTTGGCTTTTGTTGCCAATGCTTTTGGTGTTTTGTTCATGAAGTCCTTGCCTACTCCTATGTCCTGGATAGTTTTGCCTAGATTTCCTTCTAGGGTTTTAATCGTGCCAGGTCTTATGTTTAAGTCTTTAATCCATCTGGAGTTAATTTTAGTGTAAGGTGTCAGGAAGGGGTCCAGTTTCTGCTTTCTGCACATGGCTAGCCAGTTTTCCCAACACCATTTGTTAAACAGGGAATCGTTTCCCCATTGCTTGCTTTTGTCAGGTTTATCAAATATTGTATAGTTGTAGATATGTTGTGTTGCCTCCGGTGCCTCTGTTTTGTTCCATTGGTCTATATCTCTGTTTTGGTACCAGTACCATGCTGTTTTGATTACTGTAGCCTTGTAGTATAGTTTGAAATCCGGTAGTGTGATGCCCCCCGCTGTGTTCTTTTTGCTTAGAATTGACTTGGCTATGCGGGCTCTCTTTTGGTTCCATATGAAGTTCATGGTGGTTTTTTCCAGTTCTGTGAAGAAAGTCAATGGTAGCTTGATGGGGATAGCATTGATTCTGTAAATTACTTTGGGCAGTATAGCCATTTTCACGATATTCATTCTTCCTAACCATGAACATGGAATGTTTCTCCATCTGTTTGTGTCCTCTCTGATTTCGTTGAGCAGTGGTTTGTAATTCTCCTTGAAGAGGTCCGTTACGTTCCTTGTGAGTTGTATTCCAAGGTATTTTATTCTTTTTGTAGCAATTGTGAATGGCAGTTTGTTCTTGATTTGGCTTTCTTTAAGTCTGTTATTGGTGTAGACGAATGCTTGTGATTTTTGCACATTGATTTTATATCCTGAGACTTTGCTGAAGTTGCTTATCAGTTTCAGGAGTTTTTGGGCTGAGGCAATGGGGTCTTCTAGGTATACTATCATGTCGTCTGCAAATAGAGACAATTTGGCTTCCACGTTTCCTATTTGAATACCCTTTATTTCTTTTTCTTGCCTGATTGCTCTGGCTAGAACTTCCAGTATTATATTGAATAGGAGTGGTGACAGAGGGCATCCTTGTCTAGTGCCAGATTTCAAAGGGAATGCTTCCAGTTTTTGCCCATTCAGTATGATATTGGCTGTTGGTTTGTCATAAATAGCTTTTATTAATTTGACATACGTTCCATCGATACCGAGTTTATTGAGCGTTTTAACATAAAGGGCTGTTGAATTTCATCAAATGCCTTCTCTGCGTCAAATGAGATAATCATGTGGTTTTTGTTTTTGTTCTGCTTATGTTGTGAATTACGTTGATAGACTTGCGTATGTTGAACCAGCCTTGCATCCCCGGGATGAATCCTACTTGATCATGATGAATAAGTTTTTTGATTTGCTGTTGCAATCGGCTTGCCAATATTTTATTGAAGATTTTTGCATCTATGTTCATCATGGATATTGGCCTGAAGTTTTCTTTTCTCGTTGGGTCTCTGCCGGGTTTTGGTATCAGAATGATATTGGTCTCGTAAAATGATTTGGGAAGGATTCCTTCTTTTTGGATTGTTTGAAATAGTTTTAGAAGGAATGGTACCAGCTCCTCTTTGTGTGTCTGGTAGAATTCGGCTGTGAACCCGTCTGGACCTGGGCTTTTTTTGTGTGGTAGTAGGCTCTTAATTGCTGCCTCGACTTCTGACCTTGTTACTCGTCTATTCATAGTTTCAGCTTCCTCCTGGTTTAGGCTTTGGAGGACACAAGTGTCCAGGAATTTATCCATTTCTTCCAGGTTTACTAGTTTATGTGCATAGAGTTGTTTGTATTATTCTCTGATGATGGTTTGAATTTCTGTAGAATCTGTGGTGATTTCCCCTTTATCATTTTCTATTGCATCTATTTGGTTTTCTCTCTTTTATTTTTAATCAATCTGGCTAGTGGACTGTGTATTTTGTTGATCTTCTCAAAAAACCAGCTCTTGGATTTATTGATTTTTTGGAGGGTTTTTTGTGTCTCAATCTCTGATCAGTTCAGCTCTGATCTTAGTTATTTCTTGTCTTCTGCTGGGTTTTGAGGTTTTTTGATCTTGCTCCTCTAGCTCTTTCAATTTTGACGATAGGGTGTCAATTTCGGATCTCTCCATTCTTCTCATATGGGCACTTATTGCTATATACTTTCTTCTAGAGACTGCTTTAAATGTGTCCCAGAGGTTCTGGCACGTTGTGTCTTCGTTCTCATTGGTTTCGAAGAACTTCTTTATTTCTGACTTCATTTCATTGTTTACCCAGTCAACATTCAAGAGCCAGTTGTTCAGTTTCCATGAAGCTGTGCGGTTCTGGGTCTGTTTCTGAATTCTGAGTTCTAACTTGATTGCAATATGGTCTCAGAGTCTGTTTGTTATGATTTCAGTTGTTTTGCATTTGTTGAGCAGTGCTTTACTTCCAATTATGTGGTCAATTTTAGAGTAGGTGTGATGTGGTGCTGAGAAGAATGTGTATTCTGTGGATTTGGGGTGGATAGCTCTGTAAATGTCTATCAGGTTTGCTTGCTCCAGGTCTGAGTTCAAGCCGTGGATATCCTTGTTGATTTTCTGTCTGGTTGATCTGTCTCATATTGACAGTGGAGTGTTAAAGTCTCCCACTATTATTATGTGGGAGTCTAAGTCTCTTTGTAAGTCATTAAGAACTTGCCTTATGTATCTGGGTGCTCCTGCATTGTGTCCATATATGTTTAGGATCATTAGCTCTTCTTGTTGTATCGATCCTT